AGGAACATCCCATTATCTCAGACATCCTCCTTTCCACTGGAACTCATTCATCCCAAACACATTAACAGCACAACTGTTTCATGAACCTTTTAGCTGGAAGAATCCCTGATCTTATCATTGACAGCTCTACAACAAACTAGTCCTCTTCAGGTAAAAAAACAAGTCCATCCTCTGGGAAACAATCTCTGCTAAGTGTGTATTCAACCATCACAACAGATCTTAAACCACAACACCAGCGCAATGTGTATTGATTTAATGCCAAACCCTTTTACAAACTACAACACCTGCAGTCCAACTCATGTTTTTGCAATTTTACAAATGCTCAGGTAAGGTGCATTCACTGAACAAAAGGTGGACTTCCCTGGGTTTTACTCAGGGCCACATTGCAAAAAAATAAAATTTAAATAAGTGCATTTTGTCTTGAATTAAGGAGGTAAGTAAGACACCTTCCCAATACATTTAAAATAAGAAAAAACAATTGCATTGTCTTATTTCGACAGCATATTATTTAGTTATCTTATTTTAAAAGTAAAAATACTTATTCCATTGGCAAATCGTTTTATTCATCTACTCAAAATAAAGGTAAATACACTTAATTTAACCCTGTAATGCCAAATGTATCATATTTGATACATACGGTTTCTGAAATGTTTTGCGTCTGACACCTTTTGCATAATTTAATGGCTCAAAATCCTATAGTACACAATCAGATATACCTGATAACAGAGGGCAGAAGAATACACAAAAAATTATCTTGACTTATCGCATAGTAAGAAATTATTAATATCAAAAATTGATTTCTGTTTTTTCTTTTTACATATTTTGTTAAAAGGCCAAATAAGGACTTCAAACCAAAAAAAGTTATTCTCTGTTTTGTTTTATTCTTGGATCGGGCTTTAAAGGGTTAAGAATGTTTAACTTTTTCTAGATCGTTTTTTTCAGTGCAGTCGAAAACACCAGACAGTTTTTTTTACTGTATTTCAGATGGGAATCCTTAATTTTCACATCTTGTATCTCTAAAAAAAACAAAATATTAATTCTCCTCTGATTTATTACGTCCGTTTACATCTCCTCAAGCAGAAAAAGGGTTAAAGACTGGCTTTATAAACTCCAGGGAGGTTCGGAAATGTGGTTTGTGATATGAGAGTAACAAGGGAATGTCTGTTATCGAGGCAGTATNAGGGTTAAAGACTGGCTTTATAAACTCCAGGGAGGTTCGGAAATGTGGTTTGTGATATGAGAGTAACAAGGGAATGTCTGTTATCGAGGCAGTATCACACACTGGGTGTAGACACACACAGACTCACTTGTCAAAGGGTATCTCCCGGAAGTGGAGTGTGCGACTTCGACAAAAGTGTGAGTGAGTCAGAGATGAGAAGAGAAAAGTGGGTCTGCGACAGCATGTGATTGACACAGTACAAAAACCTAATTGCATGCAGAAAAAAACAACGATTGAAGGCCTGGTCTCACTAGTGCTGAAAATAATCTACACAAGAGTTTATTGTGCAGGTTTTATTTTATTAGAGTAAGAAAAGCTAATTTGTTAACGAACTCTCGAGTTAAGCCAGTAGAATACTGATTAACAGGCATGCTGTTCATTTCTTGCCAACTGTTGTTCAGAAAAAGGTTAAAGAAATAAAAATAAAGGGATTCTTTTTAATTTTCACATGATGAATGTTTAGAAACATGTCTAAGCAGTTAGATTTGCTGCTCTTCGAGGTGAGGGGAAAAATTCGTAGCTGTTATTGAAAGCAATAGGAGGTAGAGAGGCGACGTTGCATTTCTCTGTGCTCCAACCAGCCATGTTCTCTGGATTCTCCTTAAAAACACTTTAAAACTGTCAAAAAAAGCTGTTTTTTTATTTTTTTGCAGATTTAAAAACTGCAAGCTTATACACTTTTGCCGAAAATATTTTTAAAAAGCTCAGACTTGGGGATATTTCTTGAAACAGATCATCATTCAGAGGGGAATGATCTGTTTCTGTGTCTGAGAGTTTTATAACTCACCAAAACAGGGAAATAGAAAAAAAAAAAAAATAAATAAATAAAAGAAGCATCAGAGGGATTTTTTTTCTCCTGGCAGATATTTGGATGTTTTTAAAAGAACCGCAGCACAAAAAGGGAAAAATGGATCGGGTACTTAATATGGATAGTACTTTAAATCCAACAAAAAGGGCCGGATTAAGAGATTATCCTTATTCTTACAAGAAATAATATGTCCATAACATTTATCTCCAGCAGATCCTTTTTCCCTGATATTAGTATTTGATCTCCTACGACTTTTACATTTAATTTTATAAATCCTCTAGTTTTAAAAAACTGAATCCAGGAGCTTTCATGTGCATGGTACCCACATGGTAAAAACAATAGCCGCCTACTGGTGTGTGGATCCAAACCAGTTTACTTGCGCTTTGGGCACATTCAGGATACTTAGACAATAAAGGTGAGGTCACAGCAGAAGACCTCATGTGGGGTTCATTTGACGACCTCTTTACTACCTGCCTGAGTCCAGTTTGTTATATTTAAAGCTACTTATAAATTCTACTGTCGCGTATAAATGAAAAAAATAAAATTCTTCCTCACCCATCACAGGCGGTCCCCCCCCCCACTTTTTCCTCCCAGCTCCTTTCCTCTACCAGAGCCCTCGGAGCTTGACGGTTCTGCCAGTATCTTTGCTGCTCTTAGAACTGCACTCTTCTGGACCGAGATGTCTGATCTATTTCCAGGGATCTGCTGTAACCACTCTTCAAGTTTTAGGGGTCACTAACCTGAGGGGCCCCAATGACCACGGGTACC